ATACTTGATGTAACCTTGATCTATTGATCATATAATTGTATAAATTTAACTATATAATTAATAAAAGTCTTGCATCTTTTGCTCTGTTCGCAGTTAAAAAAAAAAAAATAATAATAATAATATTTATCAATACTGTTTAAAACCCTAATATATAATTATAGTTGATATTCTTATAAAATATTTAAATATTATTAAAATCAAGTATTAATATATTAAATATTTATTTATTATATAGTTAATTGACTTATTAAGAGAAGATTTAAACAAATATTCAAAATTAATTCAATATATAAAAATAATTTATAAGAGAAATTATGAAATTGTAATTTATTATAAATAATATTATTTAAAAATTTATCAAATTAGACTTATTATTATTTGATAGGAGAAATAAAAAAATTAATAAAAAAATATAAAAAATAAAAATCTATTAATATATTTATAAGACTTCAAAAAGTACCAAACTGGTACCGAAGTAGTATTGAAATGATACCGATCTATAGTAAATTTAATATATGGGTTGTGACCCACTTATATAAATTTATAATAAATTTAAGTATTGAACTGATATCGAACTGGTATTGAAGTGAAACTGTTAGGAGCCTTATATATTTAGAAAAGTATTAAACTGGAAAAAATATAATAATAAGTAAAATCAAAGAAACAATTACTAAAATAAAATTAGTAGAAGATATAAATATTATCAAAAAAAAAACAATTGAAAAGAAAAAAAAACAAAGTAACAAATTTTAAAGGTTTTTTAAAATAAAATTAATCAAGAAAAAAAAATAGAAAAAAAGAAATAATAAACAAAAAAAAATAGAAAAAAAGAAATAATAAACAAAAAATAATAAATAACTTAGTTTATATAAGTGATTTTTTGTTTTATTTAAATCATATTATTATATTATTATATTTTAATAAACTTTTTGTTAATTATAATTATAAATAATTGTTAAATTTATTAATTATATTTATTTACTAAATAATAATGAAATTAAATATTAAAATATATATATGAAAATTCATTAAATTTTTAAACTTAAAATATGTTAAATTATAATTAAGTTATATATTAAATAATTGTATTTTATTTATTTATTTATTGTCAAATAATATTATATTATAGTTGAACTATTTATAAATATTTATTAAATAATTATATTAATTTTATATTGAATAGTATCAAACAATATAAATTCAACTTGAATTTAATTATAAAAATTTATATAATTCAGCAATAATTAAATATTGAATAATCAAATTTTGACTAGTGGAGTCTTTAGAAACATTTGAAATAAAAATTTTAAGATAAATACCAATAAATATTTACTTGCTATAAATTAGAAATCCAAAAAATAAATGATATTACTTCTTTATAAACAAGAATAAATAATTCTAATATATATAAAAATAACAAAAAAAAAAAAACATGTAAATAAAAAAATCTCAAGTTTTAGAATTATATAATAATATAGAAGTTGCAAATATTAATCAAGACTTATCATCAATATCGTCATTTTCAAGATCACTATTTCAACAAAAACAGTATTTAATATATATATTCCAACCTATTGAAGAAAAAATTCTTATAAAACTTGACGAATATAAAGATTTTACTGTTAATCGGTATATAAGACCAAGAAAAAAAAAATCCAATCTGAAACTTAAATAATTAAAGTATACTTTCGAAGTCATATTACTTTACATAATTTTTTATATTTTTTATCATAAAAATCTCAGTTATAAAAATATAAATTTGCCAAAAAATCATATGATAAAATTTTGGATGTGACAAATTGTGTGACTGTTAATTACGTAAATTTTGATACGATCCCAAAACTCACGTGAATAGATAAATAAATAAAATGAAAAACGCGAAAATTATTTGATTTTAATTTTTGACCACGTTATGAAAAATATATATAGTTAATTGAATTATTTAAAAAGGGTGCAGGAGCTTCTTAAATTTTACAAAGAGGCGAGTATTAAGGTTTTCCTTCTTTTTTAGGATGGAGACGTGGTAAGGTTCTTAGACATAGGTGACCTTCGCGCTTGTTTGATGGCAAAATAAAAATTAGGTGAATAAAGAAATCCCTGATTAAGGATATTAATAATTTTCTGAATTTTCATTAGGGTAAGCGACGAGATAAAAAGAAAGCATTAAAATGGAGGAAAAAACATCCGAGTAAACAGGTTCATCATCAGTCTGGTGGAGGGACTATAAATGGAACCGTAAATAAGAAAGATCAAAAGAGAACCACAGACAAAGAAGTAAGATGCGCAAATTTTTTTTTTAAATATTATTAATATTATTCATTCTTATAAATTACGATTTTAATATTTAGAATGATGGTGAAGTTGCAAAACGGTCCAAAATTGATCATTATTTTCAGGGTGCACCCAGAGAAGTATTACAACAAAATGCAAACAACAGGGAGTTTCAAGATTTGGTGGACACTATTACTCTATTTCCGATCACGACGAAACAAATATACTTAAAGAACACATTGCTTCATGTTTGTCGCCACCCTAAACGAAAAATGTTTTGTATGATCTAATTAAGGATCCAAAGAAATGCATGGTACATGTTTTCCTAGGGTGTGGCCGAATTAATGTCAATAAAGAAGAAGTTTTCACAAAAAACATTCAGTCATCTCTAGGGGTAATTATTCTTTGCATAACTTTAAATTAAAGCATATTTTATTTTGTCTCTAATTATTGTTTGTCTTCAAATATTTAAGTAACAGGATTGATAACTGATAAAATCAAATGCATCGATTGTCCTCGGCCGATGAATTATTCGATTTTAAACAACACATAACATTCATGAGATAGTTACCAATGGATTAGATTTCTTAAACATAATAATTTATCCGGAAATTTGTCTAATTTAATATTACCTGCCGTCTGTAATTGTGGAATCATTAATATATTAGCACTAGAAGCCTTGGATCCTGTTGATATGTTGTCACAATCCGAAAGGCACCTTTTGAAAGAAACATGGAAATCTGTATGGTTTTTTTTTTGTTTTTTTTTTAAAAAAAGAGTTACTCATACTGTTTTTTTTTAATTTTTGTAGTTTGAAACTCTTAGTGAAAAATGACGGTTCTAAATAAATGCGAGGAGTATTTACAACCTCTCATAAAGAAGTACCAGAATCTTCTTGAAAACTGATTAATTGACGTAGATAATGCGCTTAATGAAATTCTTCTGCCGCCATATACAGGCAATTATATTCATGAAGAAAATTTTGATCTACTGTGGGTTTAAGACGTTTATAAACGATTGGAAATATTATTGTAATATATATATACTGTACATATCACATTTTACTTATTGTGACGGGCTAACGGTGAGTCTGTCGCTATCTGGGAAGAATTCGCGTAACCGTCACTTTAGTTCTTACAATTAAAACTCAAAAGAGGTGTATTTGACTTGACCGAATTCTCCTTTTTTATTTAATACTTTTCTTTGAGTTTTATACATGTTTTAACAAGCATTAAGATGGAAGCTTTTTTAGAACACTAAAGAAAAAGATCAACTTCTAGACTATTAAAGGTAAGTGATTTTAAATTACGTATTATCTTTGTCAATTATTCGTCAATTATTAATTATTGTTATTACAGGTTGATACTTCGCGATACTCCAGTTTAAATTGGTCACGTGACAGTATCGCGTCTTAACCATCTTATTTTTACCCCTTACACTATATATTTAATTTTATTGCCTGTTCCTTTTCAAGAATCTTCATAATTCACTATCGGATTTTGGACAATCCGAATTTTCCTACCGTGAAGACTTCGTCAACTCAATAATTGCTAAGGTTTTTGACGACCTGATTTGTGTGAGAACATAAGTTTGAGATTTATTCACAAGAAAATTCCATCTGTTGGGATATCTAATCAGATTTATTTCTTATATAGTGGGGAAGTGGAAAACCAGTTTAGCAAATGTTCCCAAGATGGAATCTATTTAATTAACTCACATGCTACGGTTTTCGAAATATGCTTCCTCGAGGTTGTTGGTAGCGCCTCGTATGTCGATGTTACCAAATTGAACAGTGATACGTTGAAAGTTTTTCAATGCATGCAATTATCATTTATTTATCAAAGTCGACACCATTTACGACGCGGGGCGAAAGATCACCAACTCGCATTATTAGAATCTTATGGAATCGTTGTATACGGTAAGTGACACAGAGTTTAATATCATATTAAAACTAATCAATATAAACTTTTTTCTTTATTGCTTTAGAGCGCACATTTACAGTTTATGTCATGCATCAAACGAATGTGGGCATATACATCGTAGATAAAATAACAGAATTTGGCATTCCAAATCCCAAAGCCAATTGTATATCCTTGGAGAGATTGTCAAAAAGTTTATAAATTCAAGGTATGATTTTAAGTTTTGCATAAATCTTTACGTATTTACACATATTTATTTCTTATTATTTAATGATAGTCTCGACTTATCGAATACAATGACTTCACGCAAAGGATAACTTATGTTGATAAATCCCAACCTTGATACCTTTCCGTAGATACTTGGCCATCTGCATTTGTACTTGCCTATGTTCCCATGCTTTTTGTCAATACTTGCCATATCCTATTGGATATTCTATTACACAACTTTTGAAAAGAATGAAATGCCAGAATTTTTTAGTTCGGAATGTAATGTCTGTTCGCTTAAATAATGAGTCACTGGTTTTGTATACTACGTGTATTGTCTCCGTTTCCCTAGTAATACACAAAAGATCGCTTAAAAAACAAAGACATAATCTCTTATTTGGAAAATCATTAAAGTAATAGATGTAAATTACAAAATGGTGTTATTTCTATTTTTAAAAAAGATAATCTATTATAAAGTATAGAATCGGATGCTTTAATTTTAAAACATGAAAAAAGATTTACAAGCAAATAAAAAAATTTGAGATTCAATAGTATATGTAACAATATACTGTATAGTGCTGACCAAAGTATCCGGGATCTCTTATAGTTTATAAATATTTGGGATATTTTGCATAATACAATACATAAAAAAGCAGAGTATTTAAGTGTAATTATTATATTTGTTATATTTGTTTCTAATAATAAGAAAAGCAAAAATTATGAATCAAGAATATATAAATTTTAAAATACAGAGGGTGCCCATATTATTGTGGACACTTTTATTTTTTAAATAATAAAAAATTTTATTAATAAATAAATTT